TAAATACTACTTCTTTAAGTTTTGAGAGGCATTTCAGTGCTGAAATCATTGGAAGCTAGATGCCTCACCTGCTTAGACATTCTCTAAAATATCACTAGGCCTCCAACTGAAAAAAGCTTTTAGAAATCTCACCTTAAATTGCAAAGAAGAAAGAACTGCAACATCAGCTGTAAGGAACCCATTAGCCCTCTTGTCTTCAGAGAAATAAGGCCTTCAAGCAGTTGTCAGTAACATTTTACCTTTTACAACCTCTTTAGAGAAAAGCAACAACTAAAGAGCCTGTGAAATATAAATGCAGTATATCTTACATGTGCTTATGTTTGCAGGTTTGTAGGATTCAAAACAGCAGGTCTGAAACAAAGTTAATGTAAAATATTTAAGATTCGGAGTTGAAGCAAGGGCTTCCAATGGCTGCAGTGCTTCAATCCAGCTCAGGGCATCACTACATGCTGAGGAGTCAGGGAACAGAGTGGTCCTTTCATCCGATCATAGACCACTGTGTTACCTACACAGGCCCTGCCACCAGCAGAGCACACAAATTTGTCTGTCCACAAACCCACTTGTTGTAAATGTGTGGGTTTACCAATATCTATTGCACAAACATTTAGCAGATCCATTTGAGTATGCAAAAATAATTAAGCAAAAAAAGGGGGATTTTATTTGGTGCTAATTCACCACATGCAAATTCCAGCTGTTTACTGCAGACCTACCACCAAGCATACACTTCTTCCCACAGCTCATCAGAAAGCCTCTTGCTGGTGAAAGTGGTTAATCCACAAGATTTTTTTTGCTGAAGCCAAGAGTCCAAATGGGGGGTTTAGGTTACTAATGACAAAAATTTTGCATTCTTTAACTAGCGAATACTGTAAGGATTTGTCCATTTACAGAAAACCACCCTAGAAGTGGTTGCTGGCAGAAAAAACAGGACCAGAATAGAAGAAGCTGTTACCAGGCAGGACAGAGATGCACCAAGCAAAGCAACAGTGAACAGTAGACTAGGAAAAAATCCTGTTATCTGGCAGCATGAAACAGCCAAAGTAAGCGACAAGTTCCTTAGTGCCCGCCAAGCAAAAGCCTTGTGCAAAAATATCCTCCTGTGACCTGGCCAACTTACAGCATCTGACCCAAGGCTGGAAACAAAACTTGGCCTTATGCCTCATTGTGATGCCTCATGCTACCACATGACAAAAGAAATGGCCCCTTTAATAACTAGGTTTGGTGTTTAGTGTTATTCCTATCCCAGAAGCTACCAAAACATCCAGCGTTAGAGCTTTATGGTGCTAGCTCCTCTGCAAAGAATGCACTGCTGCAAGTTATTTGCAATTTAGAGAAAACTGAACAGAAAACCTCTAAGGGAATAAAAGAGGAGAGTGAATTGAACAAGTGCAAAGCTGCTCTATGGGCACACAAATCTAAATCTGATTACTGTAATATCAGTAACAATCCCAGACCTCATTACACACTGTTCTGTGATCATATACATTTAATTTAAGACTCTGCATAGCACTGCATTTATAAATGGAAAAGTGTATTGGATAGCAAATGGTACATAAAAAGGGATTTCAGTTTTAACATGAACTTTTGAGAAGATCATAAAATTCGAGACAGATCGTTCTACAAATCATCTTTACAGTTACCAGATTGTGGCTCTACTTAACCCTTCTCTAACAGAATTCAGTAGAAGCACTTCCCTCTGGATGTGAACAACAGGAAAAGCTACTAAATGAACATATAACATGAAAAGATCTAGCCCTCAAAAGAATCATAGCCTCTGGTATTGCTCCTGGACTCAGCACTTCCCAAAAGCACAGGGAAATAGGCATCATTCAGGTCAGTTTTCTAAGTGCTCACATGATTGCAAACTGTAGTGAATAAAAGTACTGAGATGTGCATCACTGCTCTGGTACTAGGTTAGAAAAGTAAGAACATAGCACTATAGCTACAGGTGCAAGAGGACTACTGCGTCTCTCAAAAAATTAACTCCAAAACTGTTAGCAGTAAATTTTTAGGGAAAGTTGGTCACTACTAAAACTGCTCCTGGTTTGCTCACCTCTTTAAAGCCACTTGGTACTGTAAAGTGGCTTTCTCTAGATGCAAGGATAACAAGCATGCATTAAACTTTGGCAATTATGTGTAGATTGACAGCTTAATAAAAATTATTAGTATGATGAACTGCAATAACGATCAGCTATATTTCTATCAAAATGGACACAACCTTGAAGAGCAATACTCAAACATGGAAAACATTTTGTATCTCATGATGCTACATAGTGGATACTTACACAAAGAATTCACTTAGAAAACAGCAAGCATCTGTAGTTCAACATAAATTCTCCAATCTCTCTGAAAGAATTTTTCATTAAATAAAAAGTCAGAAGTGCTTTCCCAAAGCAGCAGCACAAACAGCACATGCTCTCTCGTGGCTCATCATTTATTTTTTTTTTTAAAAAAAGGAACAATGCAATCCCATCACCTTTATGCTACTACACTACACATACCCAGATGTCACTGTCCTTGGGCATTCTGGGCCTCAATACTGCACTGCAATTAATGTACAAAGTAACACAACAGAGATCGTTTGCTAGTACCTACATCCTCTAGCACCTATTTTTCTGACCATGGGAATATGTTACATTGAGTTAGCTTACACCTAACTCATTTGCAGACTTTACTGACCAAAGCCTGGCAGAGTCAGAAACACACAAGACCTTTTCACACCAAGACAACCTTTTGGGTGGGCAAAATGGGGATACCTCTTTTTCAAATTCCCTTCTCTTTCTAATAACAAGTACAGATTTAACCAGACAATCACATCTTGCTACATTTAGCTTTATACAGCGTTAGGTTTTTTTCTTCTCCAACCTGATAAACATGCACTAATTTATAGTAAATGGATCTACAGAAGAGATCAACTGACAAACCTCAAAAGCTTCACAGATATCTGAAAGTGTGATAAGAGTCTTATCACAGAACAAATACTGGGACAAGAAGAACTACCAAATACAGCATTAAGAAAACAAAACCAAAACAAACTCTGAATCTCATTTTGAAGCCACTACAGTGCTTTCCAGAGGCCTGATTCACTGCTGGAGCACTGGGCTGGTAGTACTGGATCTCATGGGTCTGAATAGCCCATGCTAGATGCTGGAGTTAACTCCTGTCTTGTCAATAGCCTGTTGTTTATAACAACAGTTTTTTGAAGAACATTTGCATTGTCACTTGAAAACTCTGGGGTCAGATGGTTTGGGGAAAAATACAACTTGCCAAAGAAAGAAAAAAGATACTTTTCCAAGTTGTTTTATGCAGATGCTCAGTCAACCCTTCATAGCATGTAAAATAAGTGGAGGTACACAAAACTCCCATCTGGACAGAGCTGGCCTATTCGCTTCAAGACAGTACTCACTTTCAGGGGCTAAACTTCATCAACAGACAATTAACATACATTAAATTCTTTGGCAATGCTGTTTTCCCAACTAAATTCCTACCAAGGTGATGTTCTGCAAGTCCCCACAATGAAGGAAGGAGGAAGCAACAAACTCCACTTTCCATTCTAGATTTGAATCGATACTGCAAGCTGATATCTATATCTGCTAAGAAAATTAATCTCCTACTGTAATACAGTGGAAAAGCTCAATAACTTTTGCAAACACAGATGCAGATTTAGAACTTCACAACATCTGCACTCAATAAACAGGCAGCTGTTACTTACTGACCCACATACAAGTATTATTGTGCCCAGTGCCATTAATGAAGACTATTTCATTTATTAAAGCAAAGCCAAATTTTAACTTCTACACACAATTCCTCTTCAGAGGAGATGATTGTACTCCCTCCTCTTGCACTTTATACTCCATAAGCCAGTCATGCAGAGCATCCTCCTCCAGTCCAATTAAGATTCTGCTTTCAATTCCCTCTGTAAAGTTTGCTGTGCTCCCATCTTCTCCCCAGACACATAAGCAGCAAGGATGACCATAGATGGAGCATGTTTGGCAGCTGAAATGACCCAGATGCTGAATCTGGAGCCATCTTCCCAGCTGCAGTAGCTGGGCTCACGTCCGACTCCTCAGCTGTTGGCTGTCAAGCTGCCCTCAAGCTGTGCCAAGCATACATCTCAAAGCTTTGACCAAAGTGGGGCAAATGCTCTAAATCTGAGGCCTGCTGACAAAAAGGATAACAAAGACTAAAGGTTTTAAAAGTAAGCAGCGAGGGAAACCAAACACCCTTTCTCCTTTCTCTTCTATCCCTCATTTTTTTTCCATGTCTTTTCCTCTATTAATAAAAATTCAGGACCACATCCTAGTCTGAGGTACTGACTAGCAGGAGATTCCCCTTCACTCATCAATACTACATGCAGTGGAAGGTGACTTGTGTACCTTCACATCAAGCCACAGGCATAGCAAGGGCTGGGAAATAATCTTTATTGAGGGAAAGGTGGAAACAGACAATTCCTTTAATTCATTACGCATTTTTTAAGCCTCCTAAACATCTTTAAACAGTCAAGCTGCAGAAATTCTTGTACAAATCAGGAGCAACTATTTAATACTCTATTTCTTACCAATTTCATCATGATCTTGAACCCAGGGAGGGACTTCTACATCCTCCATGCCTCCCCACTGAGGAGCAAAAGAAAATGCTTAGCTTGGTTTAATGGCTTCAGTCATTCAACTATAACTATGCATTCTGATCTAGACTTAAAGGAGAGTATTTTAAGTTTTGGCCCTTTACCTCATCTCTGCTCCTTCTAGCACAGCACTCCTCATGCTGATAAAATAAACCAACCCTACCCACCAGTAAAGTACCTCCACATGGCCTATTTGCTACTGAGAAAAAGAAGTTTCTTCTGAAATAGCAAGCCAAATTTACAAATGCCTGTTTCAGGTTTCTTGTATGTATTACATGTATACATACTGTACCTGTTAGAGCTCCTGAAAGGAAAATACCATTTTAGAGAAAGTTTGTTTTTCTAAAATATCACATTTAATAGGGAAAAATATTTTTCATATTTAATATTAAATAGTCTATGACTTGCTACAAACCTAAGCATTTCCAAATTGAAAACAAAGATGATCTTCCAAGTAAAGGGAGCAGCATCAAGTTAATTCTGCCTAAATGTTTTTGTAAAAAACAAACAGCATTTTTTAAGACACAAGAGCAAATACACATTCCCATTTTTAATTGCTACTGAAAACAGTATTTCTGAAGCTAACTTCACCCTGCAGCACTTAAAAGTCACTAAACTGAATTACAGGCACCAAGAACCTTCAAATGAAACAGACTTCTGATGCAAGAAGTGGACTGTATTTTAGGAAAAATAATTCAATTTAACAATATATTAGTAAAGGAAGGAGATCGTCTACAGTACCATTTCTTTAACACTCTTCTTTCAAGGCAAGCAACTCAAAATCAGAAGATATGTAATTAGGAACCAGGATCCAATAAACCAACAATTTTTATTCTCTGCTCAGAGATTTCTTGTGTGATAGTGTGCAAGGAAATTAAGTCAGCCTCAGTTTCTTTATATGCAATCTGAATTAGATGTTGGGGGAGGAAGAGGCAACTCAGAATGAAATAATTATTCATCATTTCTTTAATTAAAAAATATGTATAATCAGAAGGCTACTACTCAGTTGAGCTGGAACTCCAACCCTCATAACCTCTTGCTCTGTAGTATTTGGAGAAAAGGCAGGATTTGCAGTCCTCCTGCCATGAACAAACCCAGGCTCTAAGACCCAAGAAAATAAAGTTGCAAAACAGAAGGTGCCTCACACACCGATTCATTTACACAGCACAGACTTCAATTTCAATCCCCTGAAGTACTCAACTACAGTAGTAGCGTACCGTGTAAAAATGAAACTTAAAATAAATAGCCAGTAAATAAAGCCACTTTACAGGATTCTAGAAAGCATACTTAAAACTTTAGCAGCTTCCTATCTTAGTTAAAAAAAAAAAATAAAAAAAAATAGAGGTATTAGGCCCTTCAGAATAGAAACTACCTCTTCTTATGTTTCTACAGCACCTAGCAGAAGGCGGCCCTCAACCAGTAATTGAAAATGCCAGAAAATCCCAACACAAATCACAAGTTATGCTTTTAAATGCTGTATTGGGAACTTTTTTGTCCAGGTGACAACCTGCCATTACAGGATTTTTATTCTTCTTCAAAAAATCGTTCTTCAAGGCACTGTAATTTACACTTAGAGATTAGCACTATGCTTAAGAAAAATCATAGCAAAACCACTTGCTGCCTTTCCTTCTGTACATTTGCCAGAGTGAAAAGAGACTGCCACCCAGTGGACTACAACCAAGTACATCAACTGCAAGCCATGACATTCAATACAGAATTGTTGAAAATTTTATTTTTAAGAAAGTGCGGTTATTTTTAGTATTTATCCTGTTAATATAATAATGTTTCAAATACATAAATTCACTTGCCATTCTTTTTTTCACCTGAAAAAAAAAATCAACATTTGTTTGAAGGCACTGTACCTATAAAGCTTTTAAGAATTACCAGAAAAAAATAATCTACCAAATCAAGCATTCACCAGAGAAATAGTTAACAAGTGCAATCACTCAGTTCAGAGGTGGGTCATGTTCTAAATGCAGCTTGTGCCATCTTTGGGAAGGTTTAAACAGAATTCACCTGTAATATGACAATGCTGAATAGCATACACAGATAGTTTAACACCTCTCGAGATCTGGAGTTCATTTGTATTTGTAAAATCCTTCGCCAGTCTTCTTACCCAGCTTCTTTTCTTCTACCAGTTTATTCAGGAGCGGGCTGGGTGCAAAAAGAGGATTGTTCGGCTCTAATGAATGCCATCCTGGTGGAAGAATTAGATCAATTACTAACAGTTGTGTTTATATGCAAAGATAATAAAGATCTGCATCTCCTCAGAAAAATATTCAGAGGTCAGGAAACTGAAGGAGGCCTGGAACTTACTCTAGACTCTCTGAGACCCTTCAATCCAGCTTTATAAAGCACAGATCAGTATTGATGATTATGAGCAAATGTAGCAATTAGTCTTTAGGTGTAGTCTACCCTGAACACCTTATAATCTCCATGACTGAGGATTTTTAATATTTTTTAAAAAAAGAACTTTTAGAATATACTTAAGTACAAGGAAATAAAACAAAGGCTATGCCAAAAAGAAATTCAAGTGGAAAGAAATTCCAAGTTGAATTTCTACCTGCAAAAGACAGTCAGAACAATATAACACTGCTCCATAGTACTAGCTTAAAGCAAGAGGTTTTACTGAAGATGTCATTTTGAAAGTGACATTTTGCCTCTGAGAATATTTAAGCTGCTCACTCAATATAATACAACCACCATCCACAAGCTGTCACCAATTATATCTTCTTTTGTTACTGTACTGACATTCATCCACTTAACTGTAGTGAAAGGGAGATGGTATACTTGCATCTTTTACGGTATTTACTGGGTTTCCTATTAATTGACAATGAAAACATGGCTGGCAGAAAAAGGATAGAAAGCCTCAACATTTGTTGCTTTTCATCCATTTCTTACCTCCAGTATGTGTCTCTCTTTCTACCAATTCTTTCTAGCTATATAAAGATCTATTAATATTATTATTATTTTCCACTGGATCTTGATGAAGTCAGCAAATCCACCACTGTTGTGTCCCCATGTACACAGGATACAGGCATACAGTACAAATGCTGTATTCACACAGCATTCTGAGATGAATTCTCATTCCCTTCTCCTCATCAGTTAAAAGGCTATTCCATAAACATTCAGTTTAAACTAATTAAGAGTTAGATTTTCATTACAACATTCACCTACAATATAGCTAAAAAGGGGAAAACCAGAAGAAAATAACCATGCAGTACCATCTATAATGTATTTACTGGTATCCAACCCAACATAGTCCAGCAGTTCAAACGGACCCATGGGATAGCCAGCCCCAAGCTTCATAGCAACATCAATATCTTCCTTTGATGCATCTCCTAGAGAAAAGATTGACAGTTTGATGAACAGAGAAGATTCTGCATCTACTTGGCACCACTTATAAATAATTAACAGTGTGTTATTTCACCCTGGTGCAGCTCTTCATAGAAATCTCTGAATGTTTCAGAACCACAAAAACTGGAGTCAGCATACACAGGCTGGAGTATTAAGCAGAATGTCTTAAAAAAAAAAAAAAAAAAGCCCTGCAGGCCTGCTTCCCAGTTTTCTAGCTTCCTCTTGCATTTCCAGCTGCTGTGCTCAACCTATCAGCAAGACTAGAGGAAGAACTGGTCACTATGAAGAATCAAAAGCTTCTTTTAGAGGCAGCTGAACAGTGTTAAGTAAGAAAAGATCTCAATTTCAGCTTCATGAGATCAGCAACAGCTTCTGAATGATGCACAAGACAGAGCTACCCTTACTCTATAATGGCCAGAAGGCAAGTGATAACCAGCTGATGGACAAGGCAGGCATGGGGAAGGAAGCAGGAGCAGCTGAGTAACATGCTTAGTTACAGCAACTGTCACCAGAGGGTATTCATCAGATGAGAGATGGAAGATAGGAGTGACCCAAAGAGACTGTGCAGGTGTGGCGTGATTTGTGTATTCCAAAATTATGTTTAAAAAAAATTAAAAACATCAGAAATTAATTACTTCTACTTCAGTCTGTGCCTATAAAAATACAAATCCTGCACTGCCAGATTCTCACAGTTAATATTCACCTCATTCTTTTGCTGGGAATGAATATTTTATACTGGAATGAAAGCAGATGCACGTCTACTGCTTACTTCTAATACATATTTTGATAAAGGCAGTGCACTCCTTTGCAGATCCTATAAAAAGGGAAGTTAAACAAACCCCAGAGGTACTTGTTAAGTAACCTCCATGCTCGATGCATGCAGGCATTCAGGGTGTCCAAAAGCTTGGCAGACAGAGCCTATGCAATTTATACACCTAAGATCAGAGAATCCTAGAAATAAATTTTCAAAATCTCTTGTAAAGGCAACAACTTCACTGAAAGTTCTGCATGAAGTAATAATTTTTATGTATCTCCTTTTACTCTTTAAAGCTGACAAGTTTTTTTAAAAATCACATTTTATTTAAAGGGAAATGTAACCTTTTCTAACATAATTTCAGTTCCCCAAACTCAAACACACGTAAATCCTCAACTCATCTGAAGTTGATGGAGATGCACATACTTCTTTTATCAACAGATTTGTCCCACTTTGTTTGTTAAACTTGGGACTTGGCCACCTGACAATATACAGTTGTGTTACAATACAATTAAAAATATTACCAGGGCAAACAAGGATTGTACTTCTAGTCCATACTAGTCTCCTAGCATAAAGCAGGCTTTCATAGAAACTTGACTGACTGCTTTTTTGGTTTTCCACTAAGAACAGGGCAGTACAAACTACCATACATTAACATTTATAACATGTTCCCTGTTTAAATCACTGTTAATATACTAAAGGTATTTTGCCTACGCAAAAGCGCATATTTAACCCAGGAGGATTTTGTGTAATCAAAGACGCAAGGACTGACCCAATAAAATGGTATTTCAGTGCTTGGGGTTGACAGGAAAGAGACCCAATTTCATACTAATATGGATGACAATCTCGTTCAACTGTCTACTCTGAAAATTAGCGCAAAGGATATCATAAAAATTTAACACGATTCACTGGAAAATATGAACTAGAAGACAACCATGAGGCTTTTCAAAACATTAACCAGCTTTTTAAGTAGATTTCATTAGAGTTAAAAATTCATAAATGAACTTTAACAAGTTGGGAAATATCATACTGTTGTACAAAATACAAACAGAATAAAGATTAAATCAAAATAGTTTTGCTTAGGCAGAAAACAGTCAACTTTAACATACAATCTCTGTGAGTGACTTTTCTTCTAGATTTAATTAAAAGTTTTACTGTCTCCTGAAATATGCGTAATGATACATGCCACTTAACAAAAGCACCTCTTTTACACACACTGGAACACCCATACACTTTATTTGAAATTGTGACTTATTCTAAGAGAATAATGCTCCCTCACAGCGATGCCTTTGCCTTTCAAGTCACTAAATTTCCTCTTTTCTCCCTTTGAGATGTAATTAGGTACATCTGTTGATGGATAAACAAGTAGTGTTGTTTTTTTTTTTTTTTTTTCTGGAGATCAAACCATCCCTTCCATGTGCTATACGAGAGACTTTTAATATTTAAAGCATATTTGGTGGAATCCTGATAATGTAGTACTTTCATCTGTAAGAAAGCAGTGATTTCAAAATCAAAATGTTTCAAATGACATTCTTAGTAGCACAGAGCTATGAGCAAAGCACTTGAAATAAAAGCAATTATACTCCATAATTTCCTCTTTATCCACTACATTATTGGTTCATTTCCTTCTCAAAACAATTATCAATGCTTTGAAAAATTTAGTAGTTCTTTGGGGATTATGATTATTTCTACCCACCCTCAGTATTGACATAAGAGAAACCAGCAGCGAGATGGGAGTTCATGAAGAACCTATGTCTAAAAAAGGACACAGAAGATGAACAGGAGGTTTTATGAGACAATAGTTGAGCCCAAATCACTTGTATACCAACACTGTACTGAGATAGTGAGTATTATACTAGCCTCACCTGAAAATTGGTGATTTATTTCACAACCCAAATTTAAGGGAATTCAGTTTGCTAAAGGTCCCATTATGGGACTTTCAATCCCTTTCATTAACGTCTCTTGGAACGGAGAGAAGAAGGCTCCTGAGTTAACAGAGGCTGTTTTTACAATGGCACTACACTCACCTTGTCATGTCCAAACCAGAAACATTTTCCACCACCAGAAATTTCCCATACAAGTAACTAGTACCTTCTGATTCTGCATACGCTGACATTTCAAACTGAAGGCAAGATCTTTCGAACTACACATACTGGCTCATATTTGATGTTCACTATTCACTTCAAGCCTTTAGGGACTGAAAGTTTCGTGGGAATCCCAAGGCTTTTCTGAAGGGATTTAACATTTAGCAGTGTTACATGTCAACATTCCCTGAAGTCAATACCCCGACAGGTACCTCTCTCAAAAAGTCGAACAGCTTCCATCATATATGGCACCAAGAGACGGTTTACAATAAACCCTGGAGTATCCTACGGAAACATAAAAAGGGATTCTAAATAAACATTCTTTACCAGTACTACACTCAAATGCTACATGACAAATTAAACAAGTGTATGGAGACACTTCTTGAATCATCAACTTCTGGTACTCTCTAAACTGTATTTTTCATCTGATTTATCTGCTCACAGAAGATTAATTTCACGAACAAGGAATGGCACAAAAATATTCATCATGACTGAGAACAATGAGACTACTACAAGCCCACCTCAATCTTAAAACAATTTAATGTGGCCAATTGTCAAATGTCTTTTCCTTATCAAAATTCTGATGATACTATTTCTGGAAGGATATAAGAAGATCAGTTCTTCCCTAACATTTGTTTTCATGTGTTCACTACTAGAAACATTGCTGACTAAATAGTCTACTTCTCCCCCATTGCTCACTGGTAAACCATGCTTGTGAAAGTTAAGATCACTTCAATAGCAAACAACAATGCTATCAATGAAAAGATAAGATATGTGCTGTCAGAAGTAGATAACAAACTGATAAAGAACTTCTTTTACACAAGCTTTAACCAAAATCAAAAATACAAAGAAAAGAGAAAGAGCTTTGCAAATACAGTATTGTTTTGCATTCTACTACTGTTTCAGATGTTTATTGTTCATCCCATTTTATCTCAATATTTAATCCAGAGAATTCCAAGCAACTTTTCCTCTATGAACAGGAAATTAAAAAAAGAAAGAAAAAAGGTTCAGACATGGAGATTACATTACCCTCTACCCAAGCTAATTTATAACAATAATTCATCATATATTCTGCACATTACATACTGCAAAACTATGACAGAAACAGCAAAAAAAAAAAGTTAACTAAGGCCACAGAGCAATTCAGCAGTACAGCCAGAATTAGAGCCCAGCATCCAGACACTGAAATATTGGTAACTACCAGATTGCAGGCCCTTCTTTTTATGACCGAGAGTCTCCTGGGGGCTGTGAAACTCAAGGCAATAGCTTGTATAAAGCTAACCAGACCACAACTTAATGGATTTGGAAAAAGTGCGCTTAGGAAGTAGGGTGTTCCTCTAGAGAAAAAAAAAACAAACAATGAAGATTAATGTGGGTCTAGCTACTGCAGTCTTAAGAAAAACTTGCAATAAGCACACACCATGGAGGATTCATCCAGCTGCCTCACAGTACAAGAGGTCTTGTCTCCAGTATCACTAAAGATGAGCTCCTGCTTAAGCTTTCCAGTCCAGGCTTCTGCAGGAGAACCAAAAACTCTAAACCCTGATACTTGTGAGTTTTGCTAGAGTCACTCTACTTTGAGGAATTTGTGTTAAATGTGGGTGTTTTCTTTGTCAAAATACTCCCAATAGTGAAGAGAAACTGGACAAAAAGCAGCCTGGAAATTCTTGAAGTGCTCTTACATCAACTAAAACCTAGCGCCTTAAAATTAACAGTTTTCAAGAACAGACCTTCTGAACACTGTATAATCAAAATGTACTCACCTTACAACTGACAGGACTCTTTCCTACTGCTTTACTGAAATCCACAAGCGATTCAAAAGTCTTTTGGCTGGTCATTGGAGTCTTGATGACCTGGGCAGAGAGAAGGTAGGGAGAGCGTAAGCACATTTATGAGCAGACTCTCACTCATTTCGCAGTACAGCAATGATTAAACTGAAAACCAGAACACTATTCCAGAAATTCGCAAAACATTTGTTTTGCAAAAACCAATTTCCGTGGATATATATGTAACAGACACAGAAATCTATTTTAAAGATAGATACAACTTTTGAAATTGAGTGTTTCTTTAAGACACGTCCCCACTCAGCCAGTATGGATGATAGAAGGGACCACCCTTTGGAATACCATTTACAGTATAACAAAACAACTTTAAAAGCTACATAGCCTCTGTTGCCTTGGGAAACATGATGGCATCACTCAAAGAGAATTACATTAACAGACATAGTTCCTGACATAAATGATTGTAACATCTACCCTGTGCCCAATGTAAACACAACACAAACATTTAATTCTAAAGAAAATGTAAAATCTATCTTTCAAATTTGTGACAGCCTCAGCTTTTGAGTAGTAAATTTCCACATTGATTTTCTTCACAACTGAGTCTTTTACCACATGCATTATTCTGTATACTTCATTGGTGCTGGGATGCATTAAGTCATATATTAAAGACCCAGCCCGCCCCAGGCCCCTCCCCCAGAAAAAAAGAAAAAAGGAAGAAAAAAAGTCTTGAGGAAGTTGAAGGGGTTGTGATATTTGTGTTGAAACTGACCTCCATGTGCAGTAACTGAAAACTGCTATATATAAACAGTTAAGGCTGGCCTCCTTGTTCATACCATCACATAGAGATCTCCTGCCATCCTAATGACTGATGTAAGGCCAACAGAAAAAAACCTCACTATTAGGACTGAAGAAAAGGCTTGTTTCTCAACAGAAAAAAATAAGAGTTCTTTTATTTCGATATTAGATAAAAATATCTGAGATACTTACATAAGACTGCAAGTTTCAAGAATGAGTTTTTAATATACATGCCAATTCTGAAACATTAGCACTAGCCTTTTGGATTACTGAAGAAATTCCCTCAGAGCTACCTGCTTCTGAGCATAAGATCAACGATCTATGGAAAGAGCAGATAGGACTCAAAGGCACTGCAGATTTGTGACCCATGAAGAACAGCTTCCATGACAGATGACTGGCAATTTCAGCAGTATCTTTCATAGTTTTGGTGATGCTCTTGATTTTCCCCTTATTATTTCAAACTGAAACACGTTTTACATAGAAAATGTTGTTCTACAATGTTTGTCAAAGCCAATCCTGATTTACAGATGTAGATCTGAAACAAAAGCAAAGCTTTAAAAAGTGTATTTATTTACTAATATTGGCACCTTTCAAGGTTATGTCACTAAAAGTGCAGCTTCTGTGTTTTAAAGTTCTTCAAATACTGTTCATCAACTGCAGTGATTCTGGGGTAGAACATTCGTAAGTCAGATGAAAAAACCTACAAATTATAAAGATTGTCCACAGCAGTCAGACAGGGATTGTTCTGGTGTCTTCTACAAATGATGATACTTATCTTCCGTGTTATTTCAAATCTCACAGAGGCTTAGTTTAGATTTCTAAAGACTGTGATTTGTTTTAGGCTTGAGATAAGGCATTTATTGAATCCATAGAAATAAATGACTGCCAACAAGTAGTTCTTAGCACAGAAATCAATAAAGCCTACGTTAGCCTAAGGAATAATGCTAAATATTTCCATTATCTCTAACACCTATAGAATTCCTCTCTAACACCTATAGAATTCCTCTCTTTCCTTCTTATATTTCCCCAGAGCATTTAGTCACAATACACAGGATGCAACATTAAACTAAATAAAAATCCACATAGGTACAGAGGTCAGTGAGAGAGAATTTGCAAGTGTTTGAGCCCTCATCAGACAACTATATTCTGAATCAAATTTGTTCAATTCAGCCAAAATGTTCAAATATTTCAAATGGAGAAGGAAAAGAATGATACATTCAAAGACACAGAGTAAGAAATGCATAATATGTATTTTAATGGGTAACAAGAATGGGTAGCAAGAAATATAATAAAGTGAATCTCGGGCGTTCAAAAGGCAGGCACAATGTATATGAAGTGCTTGTCACCAAAGCAATACTAGAACTAACGGTTCACGAGACAAAGTGAAAAGATTTACAGAACTGAAGGGCATAAAGTACATGAAACCTTGGGGCACAGTGACCAAAATGTAAAATTTATTTTCACTTACTCAAGAGTTTATAAGTTAGAGCTGATCAAAGTCAGCCATAATGACAAAATGTGAGAAAAAGAAGAGACCTGTTGGTTTTTTCTGCCATGTGACCTTTACTTTGGAGGCTTAGATAAACTCTTATATCAGATTATTTCTTATTCTGCTCTGCACTGCAGTATTATTAGAAATTGCATGATGTAGTCAAAGAGAGTATGTTTAGAAAAGACGTCTGAAGAATTAGGTAAAAACTTCTTTTTACACTTCCTTAAAGGCTGGGAGATACTGTATGCTTTCAGACAAATCATCCAGAACACTGAAACAAAAATGACAGACTTTGTTTCAGAAGTTACAAGATAGTAAGATTTCACCTCATATTGTCTTCTATCAATTTCTACACTGGTAACAATCAAAATTCCTCTGTCAGTCATTGGATGATTTTGTTTAAGCTGTCAGTAGTTCTTATTAATCAGCCTGCCCACATGCCTAAAATTATCACTATAAACAGCACCTCTGTTGGCAGTTCAGTGGAGAACGGCGGAGCCTCGAGACTGAAGGAGTTACCTCTGTCTCTTCAACCTGCCTCTCAACAGAGACTTGGACCACCTTCTTAGCACTAGAGGTAGGTTATTCTGTATCAGCAGAGCTTCAAACTGAGACCTACTCTTCCATCTAACTGAATTCTCAGCGATGACAATTGCATTGCTGTGCTACAGTGGTTCTTATGATGATGTTACAAGACTCTTACCTCCACAAGCTTCATCATAGGCACAGGATTGAAGAAATGGAGACCACCAAATCGGTCCTGCCTGGTGGTTGAGTTAGCCAACTGTGTAATCTGCAAGGAAGAAGTGTTGCTTGCAAATATCGTATGCCTGGAAAACAGAAACATACGGATTGCATAAATGACAGCTATTTTTCTGACAGTAGGAGATTGGTGTGCTAAACATAAATAGACATCCATTGGCTAGTCATCCACAGAATTCTACAAAATATCCCTGCAGATTATCACAGTCCTTTTGCTGAGGTGTGCATACAGCAATGATAAAACAACCACTGGAAGGGCTGTGTGAGTTTCTGACTCGCAAGTAAGTATGCTGAATGCTTATATTAGGTGACAGAAAAAAAGACTCTGTAAGTAAAAAATTTTTAATTCCCTACATCTATTCCAGGTAATTCCTTCAGCAATCCTGAAAACCTAACAGTATTTTTTTATTGTTAATCACTTATACATCTATGGAAACCCAATCATTTGTCAAAAACGCACTTTGGAGCCCTAAGAAAAATTTGGAATCTATTTTATTTTATATAATGATCAGTGATAGACCTGATGAACAAGCCGACCACCAGAGCAAAGAGCTGACAGAAAAACTGACAGAAAGCTGACAGAAAAGATAAACTGCCATGCATAGGCACTGCAAAGGACACACAAAATCACAAGAATTTTAATACATATATGAAGTCCTTTTCCAGACATAAACCAGATTTAGTATTGCAATTTATAATGCTCTGGATTGGTTTTTTTTCCCTAAAATATCTCAGAATCTCAACAGCCCTGCTAATACCGACCTCACACTGAAAACTTAGAGAAATGGCTTTTTCTTCAAACCACAAAAATCAGAAACTAAAGATAAAACCCTGCCTTCCATTCTGGGCTGTATTCTACTGACCTTTCAAAAAGTTATCCTACTGAACTCATCAAATGTTAATCTAAATTGGTATTTTGCTTACATTTCACTAGGATAAAACTGAGCTTCACAACAGAGCTTTCAGAAAAGGTATGTCCAGGTTGTAGGGATATCTTATAGTGACATTAAAAGAAAACATTTGGGAATAAAAAAATTCCACACTGATTTCCATTTTTTATGTTTTCTCAGTTTTTGAGAATTGATATGGAGAAGGAAGCAAAAAATCCTGAAAACTCCTATTTATCCTTCTTACACACATTTTTTGTTATCTCTCCACCATAAAATGGGCCTTATAAATTTTTCTGAGGTTGGGAACTAAAAAGAGTATTATACATTTTATATTTTTGACCTTGCAAGGTCAATGCATCCAAAAGACACTTATCTTCACTGAAAATCTGCCACTGTATACAAAGCATTCAAAAAGTCATATAAAAATTAAGCACACTGATTTGTGAGATGTAATCATTGGTAGGTTTGTATCTGGGTTCACTTAAAGTAAGAGATTTTACCTCAGCATCACTGCTGCACATGAATACTGTAGCCTCACACAACATAAAGGCTTGGGGATAAAAAAGCATTAAATTTGTATTGTGTACAGGGACAGTTTATTTACATTTTCTGCTCTAACTAACTAACTGATTTAAATTGAGTTTAAAATAGAATTTGCATGCCACTGTGAATTAGAATTACATAATACACATTCCAGATGACAGCAGAGTTGGAAGACTTTTGACAGCAACAGTACGAGGAAACCCTTAGTAGTAGTGATGCTTTTCCAGGCATCACTGTGCATTCTCTTAGGGCCATCTAGTGGGTCAGGGGAAGACATTAAAACTAGAGTCCAACACATCCTATTTCAATATAGCTGACTCTTACAGTCCAGCTCCATTACACAGTAAACACTGAACAACACTTGTAACAGTTTTGTAACACACTGATTCTAACAGAGTGAACAGCTGAAAACCATTAGCCAGTTCCTATCTGAGTTTCCATGCCTGAAGATAAATCCTACATCAAGAGATTTTGACATGCATTCCCACCATCCAAAAATAAACAGAAAGCAAGTAGGCAAGAGCTCTTAAAGTGGATACCCCCAAATTTTTCTGTCATGTTCATTATGATCCTGTTTGGAAAAGTGCTGCAGCATTTAAATGCCTAAAAGCCACAAAGAACATGAGGATATTCTATAAAAACCCTAGCCTGATCTTTTCAAATCAGAAACGTGAGACTGACTCAATTCAAGAAAAAGAAAACAGAACTGAAGAGCAGACAGCAATGCATTATCACCTGCTCTGAAGGTGATGACCATGTAACACAGTAACAATTACCATATTAGGATGATTAGCATAACACTGAGAAGAATTTAACATACACAAGCAATTTTGCAAAACTCTTAAGAACATCAACTAGTACGCTGTCAGACTGATGGCATCCAAGAAACAGCATTCACCATTTCAGCTGGACAGTTACCCCGATGAGTATTATCTTGAATTCCCAGTGTTCTCTGGGGTTGCCAGACTCTCCTGATTAATTACAACTTCCCTATAAAGAGAAATTCACTCCCCACCCCAAATACAGCTTCTCTTGATAAAGAATAGCTTTCCCACCCCCTTTCATTTATAGATCCACTTTCAAAGGAATTATAGTTCTTCTACAGAAAAAAAGGAAGAGGGATTGTGTTTTAGTTTTTTAATGCAATGCTTTGGATTTGTGCTGTACCCAGGCTTATCTTCATTACAGAGGTCATTGTCGTGCAAAAATGGCAGATGAACATGTAGCTGTTGCAGCCGAGGAAACACATGAGACAGGGAATACAGTACAAAAGAAGAAAAATGCAAGGTTTCACACAGCTTATGTTCCAAAGGCAAAATTCATCATCTTGTCTGAGCAACTGTGATACATAGCCCATTGCATTTCTGTCAGTTATCAGCTATCCCTGCAGTAAGTACTGAGATTTGAATTAAGACAAGTCCTCCCTCCTCAAGAAGCCTGGTCTTTCAGGATCTCTGCCTATATATAACATACATTTTGCAGTGCCCAGAGCCCCACAGAAGCAAAGCTTCGCCTGAGACTCTAAGCTATCTTTATAGAAATCTCACCTTCGTTACCAAACAATGACAAGTCCACCACCCCCATTATGGTGATGCAACAGTTAGTCCATATAACAGTTTTAGAAATTTTGAAATGCTGAATCTTAGTGAAGGCTGTAGGATGCCTGCACTGACAGGGAAAGCTTTCCCTTCCACTGCAGTTCCTACTACTTCCTTCTAACGCACGGAAAAAACACTCACTAGGCATTTTTGCATTTCCTCATGCTGCTCACATAGGCTGCAACTCTGTACTCCTCACATAATTACAAATTACCATTTGTGTCTAATAGCTAATATTTTAAACACTGCCTACTAAGTTTCACTGTTTTACTTTTTTTACTTTACTTTTTTACTTTACTTTTCTTTCTCTGAATCTAGACCTTCTGCACTTGCAACCCATATTCTTCACCATTCACCTCCCTTTTCTTTACCCTACATGTAAGATATCTGTATGTTTATCATAATTTCCAATTCTAACCTTAAAAAGGAAGGCTTCCTGTCTCATGCCATTTTTCCCACCCCTGCAAAATTGTAGCCTTTGACACATGAAGGAGCATATCTGAACAATTCCCGGCATCTTTTAACACTGTAATGTAAAATTTGATGTTTTGAGGCAGCTCAGTCTTCTCAAAAATAGCCTCAGGTGTTCCAAATACACAAATTATTAAATAAAGCTCCAAGTCCCTGTGCTCACTTTTCCTTGCTGACTGGTTCTAGACAGTTTGCCATTTAGTACACTCTAATTTGCTCATTAGCTTTCTCTGCTGAATATGGACAAAGACTCAGGTAACCAATGGTCTGTTTTCACAAAATAAGCACAGTCTAATCATGACAAGGTACCCTGATACTTGCCGAAGGCAGCTACTTCCTTCAGTCTGTCAGACTAAGGGTAATGGCAAGTTACTCTGTGCTCAGTGCACCACTGTTTGTAATCATTTATTGTTTCCAGAAGTACCAGGTAATTTTTATTACTGACCATGAGATAGGCTGAAAATCTCCCCAGGCTGAAGTCAACGCATGATATCTTTTCTCCCTTGACATTATATTCAAGCCATGGCTTGTCTAGTTCTTTAGTTAGACAGTCTAGAATATCTCTTAGCCAATACCCCCAGATTTAGCTGTACTAGTTAAAATCTCAACCTGCAAGCAGTCAAGGTCTTGTGATCCTGAGTCATCCATTACAAGGATCAAGCTTCTGAGACTGCACACTCATCTTAACAGCATTTTTGGGTTTGGATACAACTCAATAGTAACTTCCAACAGTTGTCAAATATAGTTCAAAGAAAATTCCAGGGACTGTAAGTAACCGAGTAAGTGCATGCTAAGAAATCATTAACACTTCTACCTCCCAGACAATAACAAGCAATGAGCTATTTCCAAACTCTTGTAATACAAAGTAAACTTCATTCATGTAAGCCACTGTTGAGCTGACTGTGACCTGTGGCTAAGAGGCTGAGACTTCTTAAAGCTTGTTCATGCCTGGTGTGCTGAAAACAAGTATTTTATCATCACAATGCCTTATTTAAATATGGGAAGATGTACATTAACCATACCTCACATGTACCAGGACAAGCTTATTCTACTGTTGTGCATTTACATTTGGATTTAGACTTGAACTTGCTGAGTAGATGGACAAACTTTACGACTAAACATACCCAGAAGCACATCAAATGAAGCAATGCAACAAGTAAATAAACCTGGTGAATAGACCTGGAAGTGTTTGTAACATAGGCACCTGGCACAACTATTCCGTAACAACTCCACATCTGGAGTTAGTCAAGGGAGAAAAAGTCCTGTTTTTTAAAAAAAACAGCTAAGAAAATGCAAAACTAGTGGTGTAAGAATAAAACCAGAAGATACAAAGGTCTAAGTTTCAAAATGTAACAGGAAAATTATACATACTCAGGAGCAAACTTATCCAGCCTCTTGAAGAGTTCATTTTTAATTTCCTGGTTCTCCACAATGGCTTCTATCACCAGATCCGTGCTGTGGACCACTGCTACTGCATCCGTGCTTGTTGTGAGGTTCTTTAAGGTCTTCTCGATGAACTCAGCACCAGCCTGAAACATTTCCAAGTTGCAATGTCTATTTACAATTATTTATTTTACATGATAATCCCCTTATGTGCTCTGAAGCCCTCAAAAATTCAGACAGTCTGCCACATTTCCAAATCAGTGAGAAAATTCAAAATATGTACAGATACCATGCTTTCACTGACAAAATTTTCCGAGCCAATCAAATCTGCTTTGAAGCAAATAGGAGACCTCTGAATTAATTCTTTTAGGAAGACTATTTGCCGCATAAGAGTCTGAGGCAAACAACTGGTTGGTCAATCAGCAGCTGCTGAGACAACCTAGACTTGCTCACCATAAAGAATAACTTTCCCAGTTTCAAACCTTTTGCATTGCGTTCATTCAGTGTTTATCTGGTTTCACTCCTATGAACAGATACGTGCTAGTTCATGAATACTTCAGGAAATTAAGTGGCCTACACTCACTATAGTTTCAGGGCAAATGTGAGGAAAAAAATACTCTGAGTAGTAAATCGCAATCACTGACATAGTTTGTGAGGACAGAAATCAAACAGAACTGCAAGACTTTGAACGAAGAGCAAGTGGAGGTGTAGTACAAGTAAAAACATACCTGCACACCAGAATATAATGGCATATATAAAGTACAAGCATCATGTGGACAATTTTCTTTAGGATTAAAAGACTCCTGATAACTATGCATGTATGCTTTGGTTATCCTGGCATTAGTATAATTTTTCTTCTGTACTTCCTCATGCAAACAAGCCCTTTTTCATCTCCTTTGTCTGCTGCATCATTCATGCTGGTAATCATCAATACCACTATATGTTATATATGTTTATACATACCAAAAAAAGAATTGAATCTGCTGTGGAATTTAGAGAAACAAGCATAGCAACAAACAGCTTAGGATACACATTTAGATGCATCAACTGTTCCATAGTGACTGGCTGTATGTAAATCTTACTCAGCAAAGTGAATGTCAAGCATCTTATACATCTAATTCATGTTACTCCAGGGTAGTTAAACATGCACTTTCATTTCCTTTGCAGTAATCCTGTGCCCAAGTCAGGGGTGGGAAGGGGCAGAAACAGACAACTCTTACTCCTTATTAAGACAATTTTATTACTCTTCACTTTTGGACAAAATAGGTTCCTTCTCAAGTAAGCCCTCAAAGATAGCTTGCTATTACGTTAGGATGAATGTTTTGGCCCCATTTCACATTTAGCATCTGTTTTAAAAGGTTGCCAAGTTGTTTTAAATCTTTATCTCAAGGCTGAAGTCTACAAAAGAAAGAAATTAAGGCAAGCCATCTTCAGACATCCCGAATCAAAAGAAGAAAATCCAAGTTCTTCATGACACTGGAAAAAGCGTGCATAACTGTAAACAATATCAGAACTTAAGTATGGTAGTTTTTATTCTCCTAAGTTTTCTTAGAAAAGAAAGAAAAAGATGTCAACCTCAGGCTTATCTGCAAACTTCTTCTTTGTCACTCTCTTCAAACTTTCTTCAATTCCTTTTGTAGACTTTTTAAGGATTTCATCTGACTGGTCTACTAACACCACAGTATGACCACTGGCTGCTGCAACCTGAAAGTTAAAAAAAAAAAAAGAAAAAGATTCAACATCATTATCATACAACAACCAACCATACTGATTTCTGTTGAGGCAGACAATATACTAGGCAATGAATTAGGCAAAAGAGGGATAAAGAACATTCAATCAAGACTTACGCACTTTTCTAGAAAAATCATAAAAACCTGCACACAGCTGGGGTGGACAGGAGCGATAAAGGTCTCAAACAACTTGAGGGAAAAGGAAAAGAAATCAAGTTTTCCCCCAAGCTGTCTGCAGAGCACTACCTCTGCCTGGAGGCACCTGAATTCTGTGGCTCTGGCTAGAGAACAGCTCTCTTGGAAAGAGCAAGTAGCTTAGCTGTGATCCTTGGATCTTGTAAGGAAAAAGGGTTGTGGAGACCAAAACTAGAATGCTGGCAGAATGAGCAGGTGGCATAAGGGATGGCAAACTCTGTGTTTCTGGGACGTAGTGTAACACAACTCTGCGGTTAGGCCAGAAGCATGTCCCTACAACAACAGGAAGGTGACAGTGGAGCTGGGAGTAGTAGCAGTGAGATGTTTTATTTTCACTATGGCCATTTCATAAAAACTGAATCATAAAAAACATTTAAACCAAGCTTGGACTTGCACTCCAACTTCATCTGTTGCAGTTCCAGAGCAAGACCCTCCACTCTTCAGAAGAAAAATCAATACCAGGCACATTTATAAGAGATGCTTCACTGATTATCCATTTATGATTACACCATCACTGAGCAGTTGGCAAAAAATCCTAGAAAAATTAACATCACCCTTTTCACACCTCATTGTTAAGATATTTACATGGACAGGAAAGAAGGAAAATGGCAAGCGGTCAGACCATCTTGTTGCAATTCAAACATGCGCTTGCTCAGAATCTACTATCCAATGATCTTAAGAATACTAAGAACGAACCCCAAGAGTGCTGGGGAATCAGTGCTTTTCTCTCATGCAGAAGTGCTTTTCACGTGGCAGAATTAGAAATTATAAACATCTGGCTTTCAGCTGTATATTTTAGCAGGTTAGCTTCTGCTGACAACATGAGAAAGCATGGAAAGAGAAGAGACAATTCTTAAGTGTTCTAAAAGGAAGGAAAACCTTTATTAACAGGGTACAGAGGATACTCCACTTAGTCTTATAATCATCTCTGCTTTGAGATAATTCTGGATTGCTAAATCAGAGGCAGATAGTCAGCAAAACAATCCTTGATCCTTAACAGTGGTAGAAGATTGCAACCCCTGTCACTGCCAAATACCAGACATGTTTCTCTTGACAAGCTGCTCTCTGAAAACGTGCAATATAATGGAATATGCAAATCAGTTCATTTTCCCTACAGAATTATAACCTTTGCATAGTGTGCATCTTCTCAAACATGAGAAAACTTTCTTTAAAGTTGTTCTTCGATGGTTCCTTCAGTGGAAACCTCAAGCTCTAGTATCAAGGTGCAGTTTTTATCAGACAAGTTAATAAACAACTACATAATTCCTTAGCAAAAAATAAATAAAAAGCCCCTGTATTCCTCCTGCTACTGATTTGTCAGGAGTGTGAGAAATCTTCAGTTCTGAGAAGGAAACCCAATAATTCATTAAAACAGAGAATTGCTATTTATTAACTCCAACCTCACTGTCAGTTTCTGCCTGGAACTCCAGATACGCCAGTTACTCTTTGTGAAGTCTGTGAACTACCCTGGTACATCGGGCAACAGGCTCTTTCTGTGAATTAAGTAAATACCTAAAATCAAATCCTTCCTTTATAAATACTAATGGCTGAACCATATCAGATGCAAACCGCCATAATTTTTCATCTAATTCCTTTATTGCCAGAACCACCAGCAATTCAAGTCAGCAACAGCTGACAACATGGCAATTGCAGCATATTCTACTTGAGTCAGCATCGGGGTAAACATTAAGCAACTTGTTTTCTTCAAACAAAGATGCGGAGTATTCTTATATTTCTGCACTTTGTACCAAAAGCACAATGCAAAAAATTCCCCCTTTCCTCACTCACCCTCATCTGACAGCAGATTACTGAGGAGCAGTGCCTGCTGGAAACAGCTTTACCTCAACAGAGACCCTTTGTGTATACAAATGACACCTGAGCAGGTAATTAATGAAATTCCCTGAACAAATATGCCTTGCCAAGTTACCTACAACCTGCAACTCCCAAGTGTAAGACAAGATTTCCACATACAGCTAGCTGTTGCTCACACCCACTCCTTGCCCACAGGCGCTTCAGTTGTCTCCCACTCGGCCATTCCCTTCCATGTTGGGGGATCTCCTGTCTCTGCCTGGGGTTCCTCTTGGCCAGAGGCCCCAGCTCTCTGCCCCCCACCCCAGGCAACCCCTTTCCTCTCTGCCCTCCACTCTCTGACTCCTCTATGCCAGGAGTCCAACAAATATACATTTTGACTCTGCCCGTGGTTTTCTTTCCCACCCCGCTTCTCAGACTGTGTCTCCTGGTGGTAACTCATTCACCCTTTTTACCTTCCTCATCCTCACTCTTGTCTCTCCTCCTCTTATTCTGAGAAAACTGTTTTTAAAACTGCATGGAGAGAATGAACATACTCTTATCATTTGCTCATAACATGCCTGGCACTGTATTTTCCCCATTTCACTTTACTCCCCCACCTCCTTCACTCCTCCAAAACATTTTGTAACATCTTCTCACTCAAAAGCTTTCTTTGTAAGATGTAAAACACCAAACACCGCAAGCTTAGTCAACGAGTGGAACTCATAAAAATGACTATGTAAAGCTGTCAAACACTTACTTGGGAACTACTTTATTAAAAATAGGATTACACTGAAGCAAAGTCTGAAGTCCTTTTTAGAAATAAAAGACATTTTCAGCATTCAGATATAGCCATCCACTTTATATAAACACACGTTTTTCAGTAAGGCATTTGAGATGCTTCCTCTGCTAAAAAAAAAAAAAAAAAGGGAGGAGAAGGGTACATTTACAAAAACAAACCAAATCTGTTACCACCGTACTTAGAGTTTACCAAGATGGCACCACACTTTTAAAACTACAAATATTTTATTTTATGCTATAGTTTAGCTACTTTCATGGCATTCTGTGAAAATTTCAGTGCATTCGGAAGGCATGAAAGCTAGGTCTATATTATAATTTCCAACAGCATCTTGTACAGATGTTGACATGGTTGTACCTTCGCATCAGTATTTTTAGTTTGTCACACTATGGAGCATTTGATTATAGGTATCACCAAAAACCACATTCTCAAACTACTATTTGTAGAAGGATAATTTTGAAGGATAGTTTTCAAAGGTGACATTTTAAACTAGACCAAGCAGGCAGAACAGTAACAAACATGTACAATTCCACATACTAGGGGATTATGCAAATTGTGTCTTCTTTGGAGTCTCTAAAAAAATAATACTAAAGCGCTTTTCAAATGTGTCCTCACTGATTAAAAGGACAGGTATTAAAAGTGATCAGTTGTGCACAACATCATTATGTTGCTTAAAGAGGCATTTCAACAGAAAGATAAATATTATCAGCACTTAATTTTAGCTTCACAATTAAGCACGTACCATTTTAAGGATTTTCAGACAAAAATCCCAACTGTACAGAATTTATCTATTCATTAGAACATACAAAGTTAAAGAAAGAAGTGCTTATTACTCAAATACCATCAGCTTTTAGTGTAAGTTTACTAGTGTTGGTACCAAACTCAAATTTTTATTGTGCTCTGGGGTTTTCAAAAATTTTATACAAGAAAAAATTTAACACAAACATGGGCTATAACCTATAATGTCAAATGTTAGCCCAATTAAGAACTGGAAGTTCTCACACAGTGGGGTACCTGACCAACCAAAATATATCATGCAGAAATTAAGGCACTCTTATTCAAAACAAGTTACAGAAAACCTTAATTTAAACCCAAAATAACTATCTTATAGTTTTTGCTAGGTAGCGCCTGGCTTTTAAAACTTCAAATTAATAAGTGACAAAAACAGAGGTTAATTTAAAGCTGAAAAGTTGACTTTTCTTCAATAATTTAGGTTTAGTTTCTGCTATGGAATACCAAACTCCACTTGAAAGTCAATTTCACGTTCCAGTCTTGTAAACTTGACATTAGGAGGACTGCTAGTATTCTCTAGATCTCCAATGAGGGGAAAATAAAATATTTCCTTAAAACAGTACATATGTGCTTATTTCTTGTGATACAAAATTTCGCTAGATCAAAAGATGTATAAAAAGATTTAAGGATTATTAAGAACAATTATTTAAAGGTTAATTGTTACAATTCCCCCAGAAGATCGCTTTCAATGTTTGAGAGCTTTCAAATAAAAGGCAAAATTCAGTACCCCCTTCGAAAATACCCAACAATAGGTTTTTCCTTGGCAATTGCTTTGATAGCGGTAAACAGCACTAAAATTTTGCATGTGAAAAGAGCATGGTACTGATACACTAATATTGTATGAGCTACAGATCTTTTTACTCCATACAGAAAATAACAAAGAGAAAGCCTTCATACTCAAACCTCAAGTTTGTCAGATTCTTCATGTTCTGTGCCTAAATGTGTAAGACCTACATCTGTAGTGCCTGATGGATGCCGTATTTGAAGTAAGACCCCAGTCCCCAAAGCCAAACAGGTTGCAGCAGTACTGTCCACACTGTCTGTAAACAAAAAACCTGAATGCAAGCCCCAATTTAGAATTATGCACATAGAGTTTTCCCCAATGAGCGGCCTGTTGGTGTCGTCTAGACCGCAGCCACTGCTGACATGAGAGAAACAGCAAATTCAAAGTGGCAGCACAGATGTCCTGAATATCTGCTTGGCACCAGAGAATACAGACTGCTGTTTCTTGTTAGAGAAGTCTGCTCTCATTTATATTCTGAGATAAAACATCTGCATCCAGATGCTGCACACCCCCTTCATGTTAAGAAATTATATATTCAAGGATTCATTTGGCCTCCAAGCCTGAGCTTTCAGAGATGGTACCTGCTTGTTTATAGTGAGCCCTGATAGTCAAGAATATATGGATCCAGGAATCCAGACAAATTCAGTCCAATCTACACCTATGAATTACTTGCAAGAAAGAATCCTCCAAGGTTAAAAGAAGTGTCATTTAGTCATTTCCAAAGTATTTGTTATTATTTAAGCTCAGGTCTAACGTTTCTTTACACAGAAGATGATAATGCCCTCTCATTTATTAATCCTTTTGGTATTACATTATGTCCTTCACTCATTTGGTAAATTAAATGTTTACATACTGCTTTTACCAAAATAACAATTACTATTTGCTAAAGCATTAACAGATGTTTTGGACCATTCTCCCATAATTAATATTTGACAAACTGACAGTAATAGCTTATATATAGAGGGGTTAAATCCAGCAAGTTTTAATACCAAATTGCAGACTATGCTGTCAGTTCATTTGTGGAATGCAACAGCTGACAAGAAAAATCTTCTCTTTCCAGAAGTGTAAATGGATCATTCCCACTGATTATGAAAGCCTATGCAGTTGGTGTTCTTCTGGAAAGAAAGTAATAAAACAAGCTGGAAATAAAATAAAGCTGGATTTTTAAAGTGCAGTATTTCTTTGTTTAATTTTTTTTAATGTCATATCATTTCTTCAAAGCTATTATATTGAATGGACATGGAGCTAAAGTTAGACCAAACCTTCCCTCCATAGATGGTTTTGCAGCATTTTCAGGATACAAAAAGGTAAAACTTTGCATTAGACTTGCAAAAATTAAGAACAGCTCCATTTTTGCCAACTGCTCTCCCATGCACACACGTTTACCTAAAGAACAGTTAGAAGAGACATATTACTGTTTTTATACTGTTGATCCCTTTATTAACACATGCAATTCCTATGCCAGCATAGCCCAAACACAGAAAGGCTCAAGTTACTATTAAGTGATGAATTCTGAAGCTTTGGTCTCCTTCATTGGAGTCTAAGCCTCGCTCAGCTTCATATTAACAGCATTTACATCCATAGCAAATGTATTATAAAAGGACAATTCATTTCTCATTTCTGTCAGGTAACCGGAGCTTTTAGGAACCCAACCCAATTTGCAAGCCACCAACTGTAATAATAAAACAAGTTTTGGAGTTGGTCCTATGCCCAACTTTCACATCTCAGGCCTCCAAGACCCTACACTTGAAACACTACTACACCCCCCAACCAGCTGCTGACTGCATGTGGATATCTTACCCATTCCAAAAGGAATGAATGCCTCTTTCTTAATTAGTTGGCCATTTTCATCCAGAAATCTTGATGGTTGAAATTCATCTGGTTTCTCCCAAATGTTAGGATCTCTGTGTACTGACCACAAGTTGGGCACGATCACACTGCCTTTAGGAATAGTATATCCCTGCAGCACTTTAAACAAAAGCACAGAGACAGAGGATCTGACAAGTTGCTAGAAGTAAACATGGGAGATTTATTAAAAAGATGACTAGAAGATGTCACAGAAATTATATGGATCCCTAGCTGCGGGCTGCAAACATAGCAGGAGCTTAAGGCAAAGGTGATCTCTGCTAGCCTGCCTGGGTCAGAATGACGCAGGCCAGAGCAGCTGGAAAGACATCAGGTTGTCCCAACAGCTCCCTGCAGGGAGAAGGCAGCAACAATCGTTAGAAATGCACTCTGCTGCATGGAAGTCCGGTGACTCACTTTCCCCCTGTTTCTGTGCTGTCATAGAGCCCCACCACAGTGAAAGTGGAGGCAAGGAAAAGGTATGGATTTTGAATGCTTTATCAAAAAATAGTTTTGAAGTGACTAGTCTCATTTCAGCTTGCTGCACCTCACTGTCCTGAGAGCCAAATCACTTAAAAAAGCAGATCAATTCAGTACTGTTTGAAAGCCAAGTATTGCTACCTCCCACTCACTTTAGCCAGTGTTCAGCTATGTTTACAAAAAATATAGTCCAACAAAATTACTTGGAAAAGGATATTTATTATTGGGTTTTTTTTTCATAGAAGCAGAGCTCAATGGCATAAGCCTTCTAATCTTTAACAAACCAGCTGCTCTGAATTGATGTTTCCAGACTTGTGTGTCAGATGGCCAAAACCAACTCTGCTGTTTCAGGTACAAAGGTGGAGTCCCAGCTGCCAACCACCACTAAGCACATCAGCCAACACAAGCTGACCCCCAGAAAAGAAATTGCTCTAAATTAGAAAAGTTCTGGATGTTGGGTCAGGCATGCTGCTTAAGTAGAGGAGTATCTCAAAGCCACCTACTCTCTCTATAAATGGCATTTTACATACTTGGGTTACATGTCTAGTACATAAACGAGGTCTTTGTAAATTATCACTAGATGTCGCACCAGATCCTCATCCACAAAAGAAACGCTGTATTAACAAGTCTCTACTAATGCTTACCAGCAGTTTCTGAGGCCATTCGAGGAATAGAAAGTGGAACAACTGCAGTCATCCTCTGCACTTCCATAATGGTTGCCTCTGTGAAGGGCATTTGAGCCTTGTGGGTAAGAGAGGGAACCTTGTCACGTCCTAGAACTGCTTCAATTTCTGCATGAACCTTCTCTATTCAAAGGGAGTGAGAAAAATAAAAAAATTAAAAAAAACAACATGCACACTGTGAGAAGACATCATCTCAATTTCACTTGCCTATGCTTCATTGTTTACAGAGATTTGTCAAAAGTACTACAAGCCATGTGATCCCGAGCTGAAGTAACTATGCCAACATAAACCTTAAGAATGGACTCAGTTAAGAACAAAACAACGAAGTGCAATCTTGACAACTGTCAAGGGTAAAGCTACTGAGATGACAGACATTGCTAGCACTTCTGTATTGGAAAAGTACATGCAAAGTTCTGTTCCACTTGCAAATGTATTCATAATCCTTAAGAGTTTAATGATACAGCAATTCCGTGAAAACATCAAGCTTCTGGCCTGCCTCACAAAAATGAATAAAAAGAGACTGCATGCAGTGCATCCTTGAGCTGGCCTCTGTCCCTGGGGAGATCCAGTTCTCAGAACTGGGAAAGGTGGTGAAGAGATGGGAGAGCTTTTCATACAGCTGCTTTAGATACTCCATTCTGGAGCAGGAATTCTGGTGCTGTTGCTGCAAGTGTTGAAGCCATTCAACTCGTTCTTCCTGTTTCCTACTTTCTACTCACAGAACCTAAACTCAGCCATTTTCCAATTCCCCCAAAAGGCAGCAGCAGATGCTCCTTCCCCCACATAGCCCTTCTACAAAGGCAAACCAGGCGTTAATGAGCTTATCTCCCCTCTCCTGAATGAGCAATGCAAAGTGTCAAAATATTTGTTTGCCCCTTTCATCTCACTAAAGGCTCAACAACAAGTAATTCTCCTCATAGAAGTTTCAAAGATGCAAGATTTGCTTTACCCGTGTACAGGATGATGTGCCTTTTCTTCCAGGTACCTGGCTGGAACCTGGCTACACAGCAAAAGACAATCTTGAAAGAGAAGGCCTCAAAATTAACCTTTAATCAAGTCTGTTTTCATTTTTTACCCGAGATCGTAAATATTTTGTGGTTGTCCTGCTTGCTTTTTCCAATATTCAGAATCCAAGTTGCTGATGGAGTTTTTGCTCTTTTCCATCCTTAGCACTGATTCAAGATTAAATAAAAGCTCAACAGAACGAAGTTACTGTTTTCAGAGAAACACTCAGAAAAACTGCACGAACTGTGTTCAACGGACAGTTGCTGCCACCTACTGGGTTTGCTAGGAAACCAAATTCTCATGTGAGGAATACAGAGTAAAAAAAATCCCTCAACAGCAAGAGATTTGTTAATGGTATGGCTCTCGAGTACTTGCTTTGTGGGGTTTTGCTACTTTTTTTAATGACACATTATAGTGCTGTATTCAGGTATGCACCTCCACAGTAATTTAAACGAGTAAATTTTTCAATATTAAATAAATAAATAAAGGAGACTGTCTCATGCCGAATGCCACACCAGCATTTTGCCCTGAACATTTCTCCAGAGCTTTTAAAGATATATGGAACTCTACAGAAAGCAAACTGCTGCTCACATGACCAAGTGCAAAATGCAGACTATAATAGTTCTCCGCTCACAGCATGCTATGTGAACTGCTACACTACATTTCATATGTTTAAAAATCTCAGAGATCTTCAGAAGTCAAGGACCAAAACCAAAATCAGGGAACAGACCAAACCAAATACTCCCCACTGCCTTCCTATATGCCTGCACACACATACGTGCACACCCACCCCTCTCTTTTAACATGTCAAAAGCAAAACTGGCCTCCGCAGACAAATACATTCTTTCTCATTTTTTCCCGATGGCTCTTCATTTGCCCTTGCATGTCTGCAACATTTGCTACTTCTAAAAGTTTTGCAATACACAATTGAGGTATTTTGTTTAGGGGGTAAGAGAAACACATTACCAGGAAAAAAAGAAAAAGCCCCATACATGACCCCCAGGCAATCAGGATACATAAAGAATGGGATACTAGAAGAGAATCACAGTACATAGCTAAGTGAAACACTCCAGACTACCGAGCTTATGTATACTGTTTAATGACAGCCACAGCATAAGGAAAGGGGAAATCAGAGAGGCAATAGAACTGCTAGAGATCAGCAGAAGAGAAAAAACTGACTAGCACATGTATGTGCAGTACCAGGCAGTAGGAAAAGGGGTTGAAAAAAAGACAAACACAAAACTTTTCTAGATCTCATTTGTGTAATTTAGAACACATCTAATTCATGTAACTGCATATCAAGTCAAGCAGTGATAACAGACAGCCTTCTAAAAATGGAAGAATAAGCCTATGCAATGAGATTTTATTTTACATTTGTCCCTGGCGGACTCTCTCTCCCATATACTGAACTGATGCCCTATTTTGCAATCCTTGATCAACAATTTGGTTGACTTTGTACAATGAACTATGATCCTGACCTATTTAAAGAGATTATTTCAGACAGATAGGTGCTGTAAACAAGTATCTATTTGCTTATTTCCAAAGCAGCTGCAGCACATGAAAAACTAAACATCTCAAATACTTGATAAAAGTATTCCAGGTTTATATTGTTCTTAGATAACTTGAGGTTTACCCTTCTTCACTCCAGGTTGGCAAGAAGTGTGAGCAAAGCAGTGGTCTCTTGGGGAAATATTTCGCTACTATAAATTGAGGTGGTATTAACTAAGTAGAATCTGTCCATCCTGACAAGGTTTCCAGTCCGCAGATACTCAACAATCTTTTTAGTGGAAATTAGTTACTATGTAGGACTTTAGGAGAAGCTAAATAATAATAAATCAATTGCTTTATTTTTCTTAAATTCAACTATCTAAATTTGCTAAATACTACTAAAGAAAACACTGGCTTTGCAACCACATGTACTGTAACGACTCAGTGTAGAAAAATATTTAACCAAAATTAAATTTTAAGTCTTTGGTGATGGAAATTTATCCTAAGTAGTCCTGAAATACAACTTTAGCAAGTACTATTTTAATACTGTAACTTCTCCAACACCACTGGGGGGTTTTATATCTACAAAAATCTACAAGTCATTTTCTGGAACTCTTGTCACAAACAGTAACCAGATCATAGCACCATTAAATAATGTGGGTTGCGAGGAAGCGCTGGAGGTCATCTGATCTAAACCCTCACTCAAAGCAAAATCATCTTCCAAGTTAAATTTAACTCTGAAAGGAAATCAGACCACTCAGGGTCATAAACCACTGAGTTTTGAATACTTCCAAAGTTGGAGATTCTGTTAAGCCTCAGGGCAATCTGTTTCACTCCTTGTTATCTTCAATGGGGCAGCTGTTTTTCCTAGTACCTGATCAGAATTTTCTTGTTATAATAGACTGTCCCTGCTGCCTCTCTTCCCTCTTCTGCACACCTCAAAGTAAAAGTGTGCAGAGGAGGGAAGAGAGGCAGCAGATGCCTTCATTTTCTTAGTGTCTTCTGATCAGTAGTTGTAGACAGCATAAGGTCTCCCCTCAGCCACCTTTTCCTAACACTGAGCATGCCTGGTTCCTTCTGCCTCTCCTTTTGGGGCCATGTGCTCCACATATCTTTTTCATCAGCAGCCCACCCAGCTGCCATGACCATTCAAGACTGATGGGGAGAGGCCTTGCAATGACATTGACCCGCTTATGTAAGTCCCATTTGCTTAAACTGGCTCTAACTTGATCGTCCTCTACAGTGGGTAATGTTTCACTTCCCCAGACTCTTGCTGCTAGGCTCAAGAACCTCCTTACTCTGGAATACATAAAAGCAGACCTTACCACTATGTATCTCACGTATCTTAAATCGCAACTATAGGTCTGGAATGCCGTAACTGCCACAGCTCTTGAAACATGCTAAGGTTTCCTGGAATTGCTTGAGAAAGATTAAGGCATTCCAAAGCAGAAGAAATGCATAGACTAAAGTTAATAGATAGTTAATATACACTCTAACCTAGAGATCATCAGATCAGAGCAGGACAGAAGATGTCTGATTACATATCATTACACATACACATGTACTATTTGCATTCCAAATGACTTCTCTACTGTTGCTGTTTGTTTCTGTTTCTGAACACCCATCTAGAGTTTTACAGTCTAGAATAAAACTACTAGAATAAAACTAGTCTTACCAGTCTTACCTTGTACTTCTGGGTAGAGAGACATGTAGAGCAGGCACCAAAGTAATGTGTTGGAAGTAGTGTCTGTGCCTGCGATGAAGAGGTCACCAATGATAAAAAATAAGTAGTCTTCATTAAAACTGCTCTCCTTGTTGTTCTTTTCTTCTTCTGCATGGATGAAATACATATCAATGAAGTCCCTGGGATTTGCTGCATCCAGTGTATCCCTGTGCTGTGCGATTATTTTTTTTAGAAAAGCGGTAATATCTAATTCTGTTTTCCTAAGTTCCCAGAAAGGCCCAAAGGGAAGGTAATACAGCCAAGGGCAGATATTGACCAGGATCATATAGCTGTTCACACTTAGCTCTAGTGCACGCGCCATGTTCTTCAGCATCGTCTTGAACTCAACATCTTCGTAGTTAAAACGCCTGCCAAAGGCCATGGAACAGATAACATTGGATACAGCGTTGCGAATGATCGGAAAGGGATTAAATGAATCCTTTCCATGCTTCAGCATTTCCTCCTTTATAAACTTCAGCTCCTCAATGATTTTGGGCTCCAAGCTGTGTCTTCCCACTCCAAAATGACGCAGTGTTGAGAGAGAGAATTTCCTCTGTTGCTTCCAGACAGGGCCGTAAGGTGCAAAAATAACACCTGGAAGAGAAAGGGAGAGTGAAACCAAAATGCTCTATTTTCAAGAAGAAAACAGTTAGGCCTGCATCCCAAGAGCCAGAACAGAGGGAAATGATACATGGCAAATCTGTCCCAAGCACTGGACTAGGAGCTAAATGAAGAACACAAAGTTCTTTAATAGCTTTCAGAAATTCCATCCCTCCTTTTCCTGATCAGTGAAATGAATATAATTGTTACATCAATAGTTTAATTAGTCTTTGCAAGACACTCACAGATGAGGAAAAGGTGCCGTAGATGCTTTACTACAAATAATAACAATTTTGTAAGAACTGTTACTCTGGGACATATGCCAGCAATATCCTTTTCTTATTAATGTCGTGAGATGTTAATTCCTTCAGCAAGGCAGAATAGAAAGTATTAAAAATAAACCGGTTTGCATTTCTTTTCCCTTTCACTTTATACAAACTTGGCAATACTGTTTGCATGTGTAGATATTTCTACTACAAGCAGGATTTTTCTTTAACTTATAATCAAAATACAGGATACACAAGCTGCAAACAAACTGGGAAGGTGAAGATGGGTTCAGAGCCACTTGGCAAAAACCTACTTGATTTGCATCTCAACAGTTTTGATGCCTCTAGGCAAGCATTCTGCATGATTATGTCATTGTGAAACACCATTTAAATTAAATCCCTGAGCTTCAAGTATAAATATTGCTCACTTAAACATCTCTTTTGTTGAATTAACAACCCACACCAAAGATACCTCAGTTTAACAAAATATACAACTGGCTATTTCTAATGTACTCCATGGTTAACCCAAGAAAGTTTAGTCATCAAAACACAGTCTAGTTCTGCTTTAGTTCTTCTAGTAAAATTATACCACATCTGTTTTTTTTGGTTTTTTTTTCTGGAAATAAAAAGTTACTTTATAAAAGCATCATCACTTCTATCAACTGCAAATCATGTTAAATTTAAAAGAAAGAGACATGGCCATAAGAAATTAGCAATAGAAAGACACACCATGTCTCAATACTTAACATTACCTACACTTCTATTACAACTAATGTTCATAGCCCCTAATGCAAAAAGGAGAATAAACAAATAAGAAATCTATAGCTACAAACAGAAATCTGTAGATGTGTAAATGAGATAACTGTACTCAAAGGGTCTGCAATCCCAAAGGTATAAACAGTTATGTGTAACAAAGCTGGTAATCTTTCTAGTCAGATTTTCTGATTATATTATCTACTCATAGTGGTAACAACAGACTGAAGAATACAAACACATGACCTAGTTTCAAAGCCCTAAACAAAATAAGCTGAGAATCAGATGAACTTCATCTTCTCTGCATGAAGACAATCCTTAGAGAATATATTCAAATGTCTACTCTCTGGAACTTTGAAAACAGAATCAAGAACTTTTCAGATTCCCTTTCGCGAATAATGTTTCCTAGTAGCACTAGTGTCCACGCAGGGTAGGTGAAAAAACAGGCTTATTTGGGGCTGAATTTGGCCAAGAACCAACTTGAGTTTTCAGAGTTTGTGGCTGGGGTGGAGAAGAAATGTGAATTTCTTGGAGCAAAACAATATTATCACTGTTTCTATCCCACAACTAGTATCTCCAAAATAGACTATACATCCACAATCTCTTCCCCTTTCTGTCATTAGGAAAAGTACTTTTAGGATCCAAACACCTTCATAAAAGAGAACAGACCTGTTGTCTTGAATGTAAAGGAGACACTCCTAGCCACACAGGAAGACTAACACCAACAACAAACCTCCCCGCACTCACTGTCTCCAGCAGTCGTGCACAGGGCACAGCCTGCACAGCATGATGTCTTCTGAAGTCCCCAAATCCCAAACTACTGCAGAATACTAATAACTGATTTGCAAACTGGGAAAGAATAACATAGGAGACAGATTAAGCAGAAAGAAGAGCATAAAGTCAGGATAACAGATAAGAGAAGAAAGAAGACTGACAGCTGGATCACTGCCAGGCAATAATAATGGAATAGTATTTCACTCAAAGAAAATCTCTGCATGACCTGAAAGTCAATGTACTCAACACAGACAACTGTATTGTAAAAAAAAAACCAACCCCAAAACAAACAACACCAAAACCCCAACAAAACCACACAACAAAACAATAAAAAACCACAACAAAACAAAAAATCCAGACGAAAACACAGTAATAAACTCTGAAGTAACAAGAACCCAGAATAACATATATGCAGAATATTAATTACACAGTTACATATATGCAGAAGCCTTCAATCAAGAACTGACCTCTACCTTCTCCCTCAAGTTGTCACTGCAGTTCCCATCCAGACAAGAAGGCCTCCCTTGGCTATGCAGTTGTTGAAATGCAGTATTTGCAATCTCTGATAATTCTATTTGCTCTCCCCTGGGCACCATATTTTATTTGCATCTTACACACAACAGTCACACACACATCTGAGATAAGCCCTTCTTTGTTCCACCCAGTAGATCATCTCAGGGTAAAACAAAACTACAACAGAAAATGTAGCTTGGAAGAAAATAGCCACATAAGTTTACACAACAAGGTAGTTTCTTTACAGAATGAAGATGTAGGAATCCCAAATGGATGCTTACTGACTCAAAGTGTGCCAGCACTGTAGTTACCCAAGTCGTGAGCGGTAGATCTGAAGTTCAGTCATCCTGCTTCTATCATTTCCTTCCCTGGTGAGTACAAAACACAACTGTCACTGCCCTGATTTACAGCAGTCTCACCCACGAACTCCTGAAACAAAGCACCGGAGGCTCCCAGCCCAAACTTAAGAGGCTTCCAGTTTGAGTGTTGTAATTCATCCACCTCCTCCACGAACCACACAAAAAGAAACGCTTGTTAGCATAGAGCTCTTATGGACAATATGCGAAAACTGAAGTTAGAGCTTTTTTTTTTTTTTAAATGATATAGGTACAACATAAAAGAAAACACAATGCTTTTGGAAAACATGAATAGCTCACCTCTTACCCAGCAGTTCTGCAGCAAGTGTCTTCCTTATAGCACAGATGCAGCGTTACAGAGACTCGGTCATCTTGTATATACCACCACTAAAGCCACGCCAGTCTGCTGAGAATGGCTGTGACTTCCAGTGGCTTTTGGAGAACCACCTTGCACGCGGGCCAGGCAGGCCCACACTTCCCATGTTCACAGACTTTTCCCTTTGTATATTTTATATATACTACCCCTACGATTCACTCTACAATACTCTCACATATGCAGCAATTCAACTTGTTGCGCCAGCTAACGTAAGTGATACATAACAGCTCGGTACGTTTTGTGGGCAACTGGGCAACCCTCACATAACGGGCATCGAGCCTGAGTGCAGCTATGGCAACCTTACAGATAAAATTAAATGTAAAGCAACATAACGTCCCTGCCACAGCGCAGCTCAACGCAGGCAGGCATGGTCCCTGCACTTGGCTGCAGCACCCTCCGGACAACCGGCGCCTCACACTTTCAGCTCCCCTGGAGCATCCACACATGGAAGCTGCTAACTGCCCTGGCTACTCTTGTGTCTCCATAATCAAATCAAAAAAAAAAACCCAAAAACAAACAAACCAAAACACAGAGAAAAGAAACATACAGAATTAACAGCATTCAGGAAAAAAGAAATCCACCAGGAGCCTCAACATGCAGTTTTACAGCATGCTAAAACTGATCTAATGTCTAACTGCTCTTCCCCTTTCCTCCCCCAGTCCTTGCTAAATGCACTGTACCTAAAAATATTCATGCACTATAACTATATGCCAGTATGTCTCAGTCCGGTATCATTAAACCAGTGTCATTAAACCGATATATATATATATTTTTTTTTAATCCTTTAAAATAATTATAGCAATGGTACCCGATTGCTTTTTAATAAACACGGTCTAGGTTTCTCACGTTCCTCTTATCTTTACAGAAGTAATTCTAGTGCAGTAAAAAACTGAAGATAAAAAGCTTCGGGCACTTAACTAATAGATTTCCTTAGCGCCGCCAAAAAAAAAAAAAAAAAAAAAAAGTTAGCACACTAGCAAGCCTCCTTGGCTTCCCCTCCTAAACTGAAAAAGGAAATGTAGTTTTCCACAAATATTGAGATCGATAATGGACCTTAAGATGCAACATGAAGAAATTCTAACTGCGATATTGCCATCATGTGTTTAAACTCCCCATAATCTTTTTTTGTCAAAGCTAGTAGACTCTCCTTTGACCCATTCAAAAAACCGAAATACGCTCAGAAAGTTTTGACAAACAGAATACCACACCTGCAAACACCCCAGCAACAGCAGCTCGCCAGCAGCACCCCAGCAATAGCAGGCAGCGCGGCGACGGGGCTCCGCAGAACCCCGCTCTTGGCCATCGGGAGAACTAGCGGAGCGCACAATTCCGCACCGCTGCCCAAGTATTCAAAATTTCTTCTCCTGACACAGCTAAAATCGGAAAGCGCTTCCGTGACAGACCAAGCTGTTCCTTACATCGCAGCACTCAGGCCGCTCGCTCTGGGGTACGCAGCGGTGAAGGGCTCAGGCGTCCCGGCCGCCGGCCGCCGCGCACACCTCGGCGC